TCTACAACCTTCAGCGACATGGCGCATTATGACTTGCCAATTGACACAATCCCGGGGACAGTCCACCTTGTGGACATCGAGCATAACATGCATACCCGGCATGCTGGATCGGGGGACAAGGACATTGTTCTGGTACCCACTCCATCGAACGATCCTGACGATCCTCTGAACTGGTCGCCGAAGCGAAAGCTCATGTTGACCATAACAGTCAACATGTATGTCCCATACCACGTTACGATCGCAAGACATGGCACTGACGCCTGGCAGATACACCTTAGTAGTTGGCATTGCCAACTCTGTGGTCTATTCGGTGCTTGTTCCTCTTTCTGAGGCTTCTGGGGTCTCCATCAGCACTCTCAACCAAGGCACAGGATATCTGTTTCTTCTTGCTGGCTGGGGTTTGCTCTTCTGGCAACCCTTCGCCTTGCGATACGGCAAGCGTCTAACCTATCTTCTGTCCATCTGCGGGACAATCGCTTGTACGTTGTGGGGTCCATACGCCCGCGGCAATGGTGTATGGATTGCAAAGAATATAGTCGGAGGTTTCATGGCTGCGCCCATAGAGAGCCTTCCTGAAGTCTCTGTGACGGATGTATACTTTCAGCACCAGCGAGGAACATATATGGGCATCTATGCGTTCTTCCTGGCTGGGAGCAACTATTTTGCGCCCGTGATCTGTGGATTTATCGCTGACGACCAGGGTTGGAAATGGGTTTTCTACTGGCCAGCCATTTTCCTTGGCGTGGCTCTGGTCATTTGCTTCTTCTTCATGGAGGAGACGAACTATACGCGATCTACAGTGGGCGTAGTTGAGACATCCAGCGGCAGCCAGACACCCATCTCTGCCACGAAAGACGAGAAGGCGACGGAAAAGACACCGGATGTTGTCAACGAGGCTTCTGACAACGTTGAGAGCGGCATCGTGGTTTATGGCAGCAACAAGACATACTTACAGAAACTGTCACTGTGGCAAACATCGCCTGGGGAACAAATTTGGACAAGAGCCTTGCGATCGTTGGGTTACTTGAGCTGGCCTGTCATCTTCTATGCTGGGTTTAGCTATGGCAGTTATCTTGTGAGTTTGACTACCGACCTCTTTGTGAGCCGAAATGGAAGTATTATCCTGACATCGCAACTTGACAGATCTGGTTCAATGTCCTGAACGCGACGGCAAGCATCATTTTGGGAGGTCCACCCTACAATTTCAAAGCCTCCATGGTCGGGCTTTCATACGTCAGCACATTGATCGGTGTCGTGGTCGGATGCTTCTTTACTGGCCGCTTCAGCGATTGGCTCACTATCAGACTCGCACGTCGCAACAAAGGCATCATGGAGCCGGAACATCGTCTTTGGCCTTTTGCAGCATGCATCATTATTGTTCCTGCATCCCTCATTCTCTGGGGGGTAGGCGCCGCGCATCACGTCCATTGGTTTGGGTTGGTCTTCGCTATGGGTTCTTTGGCCGCTTCGAGCTGTTTCGGAATCACTCTCAGCGTCAACTATCTCATTGACACATACCACGAAATCAGCGCGGATGCGATGACAACAGTGATCCTGGTTCGCAACACCATGTCTTTTGCCATTGGTTACGGAATCACTCCTTGGCTAGACAACCTTGGTCTGCAGAATTGCTTCATCTCCGCTGCCTTTATTGGAATGGCGGCATCTTCAGTCTTTCTGGTCATGATTTTCTTTGGTAAGAGCCTCAGGGAGCGGAGCCGTGTGAAATACTGGAACTTGGTGGCGGAATTGATGGCGAAGAGCAATGTAACCGTCTGAGGGCGAATGGGCGGATCCATGGGGGGACGCATGGGAATTTGGCTGGAACTCCAAAGCTGTGTCTCATTGTATGGGTGTGGAGCGGCGCAATGAGATCTGACATAGACAAGAAAACCATAGCATAGTGCCCCAAGGCTACAAGGTTACCATAAACAAGGGGACAAGGCTGTGTCGAAGCCTCACATGCACGGCTGTAAATTCACGTGATATACAATCCCGGCCCGACGTTACTCCGATAATCTGCCTGGGACTTTTTTTTCCATCTCAATTGTCATTTCTCCATTTTGCCTGTCTTCATACAAATCCCATGTCTTTTCCTATATCCTTGATTACTGTATGCAGTATGTCTCGGATGATCTGACTTGTTCGATTGTACAGCGGACCCTGACACACAGCTCTCGGGCCATCACATAGAGTGGTTCAATATGCTGAGCCTTGTCGATTTTCCGCTTGTCCTGAATTCACGCTCCTGTCGGTGTCAGAGCAGCTCATATTGGTGGCGGCCTGGCTGATACATCTTGATGAGACTTCTTCTACGACCACATCTCCGCTCTAATTCTCCATTGAAACAATTTTCCACCCTTTACAGGACGACATCGAGCGCCACAATGAGGAGTATTATCAATAATCGCTCCCACCTGGCCGCTATGCCCTACACACATTGCTGCACACGGATCGTCGACCTCTGCGACCTCGACCTCCCCGAAGATGCGACGGATGAAGAGTACCGCGCCATCTATCTCAAGTACATTCTGTCGCCGCCACGCAGCAAAGCCAATAACGCGAGGTTGCTCCGGGATGCCGTTGAATCCATCCGACACGGTATTGCCCCTCCAGTGGCTTTTCCCACGGAAACCGTTTACGGTCTCGGCGCGGACGCAACAAACGAACCTGCTGTCTCGGGCATTTTTGCCGCAAAAGGTCGACCCAGCGATAACCCGCTCATCGTCCATGTCTCTAGTATCAAGCATCTGGAACGGGTGACCGGACAGCCATTGCCGGAGATTTACTTGCCAGTAGCAGAGAGGTTTTGGCCGGGCCCTCTGACGATCCTCCTCCCAGTGCCGCCGTCGGGAATCTTTGCAAGAAACGTGCATCCCTCCCAATCGACGATCGGATTTCGCATTCCATCGTCAAGATACGCTCGCTTCTTTATCGCGGCAACCGGCAGACCCATCGCGGGGCCGAGTGCGAACTCGTCTGGGAAGCCAAGCCCAACGACAGCACAACATGTTTTGGACGATTTGAACGGAAAGATCAATTTCGTATTAGATGGTGGGGGTTGTGAGGTTGGTGTAGAGAGCACAGTCGTGGATGGGTTGCATGATCCGCCACTAATCTTGAGGCCAGGAGGTGTGAGTATGGAGGAATTGAGAAGCCTTGGGGTCGAAATGGGCAATAAATGGGCGAGGACGGCGATCGGATACAAGAGGCAATCTTCAGGACCGTCGGATGAGCCCAGAAAGGATGACTCTACTGCCACCACGACCGCGTCGACGCCATCCTCCCTGGGCGTGTCCGCATCTTCAGGAAGCTCAAGTGTGACCCACATCGATGGATTTGTCACTTACGAAGACGACGTGAACGGTGCACCTCGCGCTCCAGGTATGAAGTACAGACACTACGCGCCAATGGGACGATTGATTCTGTTTTCTGAGAACGCCGTACGAAATGGTCGTGTGGCAGACAAGCTGGATGAGTTGACTGGCAACTACCGATCGTGTACTGGTATGGATGGACAGGAGGAGCCTCAGGAAATCAGGGGTGGAATCATATCATGCCACTGGCCATCTTTTGCTGGACTGCCAGTCAAAACGATTTCTACATTTCCCCCATCCACGAGCGCCCATCCCGAAGCACTTTCAAACTCTGTCTATGCACCAAGCACCTCAGTTGCGACAATCACTGCGAATAACACCCCCGTCACTTTGTACAACGTTCACCTTGGGCCGGACATTTCCACGCTGGCACACTCGCTCTTCGGCGTCTTGCGCCTATTTGACGAGTTGGACTGCAAATTCATCTTCGCGGAGACTGTACAGCGAACTGCGCCCTTTCCATCGCCTTCATCTGTCCCGTTGGAAGCACTCAACCACCCCGGCCCTACAACGCATAGTCAAGGAACGGACGGCGGACGAGAACCCAGCCATATACGCCGGGACCTCGAAGACGCGGTGATTGACAGGATCGAGAAGGCAGCGGCCGAGAGGGTGGATTGAAGTCTAGTTGGGGTCTGCCTGATCGACCTGGTTTTATCCCCTTCAATGCAACACGATGTTTCGTGGACTCGCTATACTTGACCAGGTTTAGGTATTTCTGCAATGCACAAGCCCATCTTCTATTTGATGTATCCTGCGTCACACCGAACGGAGCATGCATGTCAGAGCTATTCCACCAACTAGAATCCGTGTCAACGCACACGGCCGCCCAATACTTGGTCCCCCTCCGGCTCAGACCACGCACAGGTCAAGGTCCAAGCTTCGTCTCTCCTATCCTTCGTAGACACACGCATTTCAGCGAACTGGGTGCTGGGATACTGTGCTACAGCTGCCTGTGCACACGTACGATCTGGTCGCCGTTCGACCGGGCGAAATGAAATGGCGTGGTCCTTGACAGGGTGGTACTTTAGCTTGTTGGATATACATGTAGTACTTTATGTACCTATAGCTACCTATCTAGAGAAGTGTGCATTCAGTGCTCAAAAGGGTAGCATGCATGCATGCATGCATGCATTCAATACAAGTGTTCAATACTTGCATTATTCTCACATGATGACGTGCAAAGAAAGAGACTATTGGATTCTTTTTCGTTTTCAACAAAGATTTCGAGCACTATTATGGCTTGTAGATATGTCATGTTGATCTACTTTCAGTAGCAAGGAGAAAAGAAGAATGGCAACTGTCTGGGTATCTACATACAAACGAAAAGGCTAGTAAAGGCGTTTCGACATCCAGCGAGGTTGCAAATAGAACGAGACTGGATTCATTTGAAGGAAAGATAAAAGGAAACGACCAAATGGGAGCACAGACCGAAATATTTGCCATGATCTATTCAGCCATAACATGTGAGTGGAACGAGACTGTTTTCATTGGCCCAACATCCCCAGTGCTGTAGCCAGTGGATTTCTCTGCCTCGTCGTTTATCAACCGCCCGCCTCTTCCATAGCAGTAGGGTATGCCACCCACGATAATTTCACATCGAACAAGGCAGAACCAATGACTTCAAAGCTCAATCAAAGTTTCCTCCACAGCAACGGGCTGTGGCTGGGTAGGATGTGCGGCAGGCTGGTTGTATGCAGCCGGCATATGTTGTGGCGCAGAAGGAAATTGATCCTGGGTATATGTGGGATAGGGTGTGCCATACGAGCCACCCGTGGACATTGGTGGTTGTGGTTGTTGCGCGGATGGCGGTTGGGGCTGCTGGTACGGTTGAGCAAATTGCTGCTGCTGCTGTGGTGGCTGCTGTGAGTAAACTTGTGCTGGGGCCTGTGTCTGCTCCAGAGGCGGTTGTCTTTGATACGGCTGTTGTGTCGCTTGTTGAGACGGGGGTGGAGGATATTGAGTTTGGGGTTGAGGAGTGGGAGCCTCAGGTGGCAGCTGCGGCATCTGAGTGTAAGGCGTCGGAGCCTGTTGTGGATCCGGGGGTGGCATCTGTGGGTACATCGATGGAGGTTGAGAGGACTGAGATGGGTACGGTGGCTGTACAGCGGGTTGATGTTGGTACATCTGCGGCGAAGGTGGCTGATTGAATTGTGGTGGTTGCGGCATGGGTTGATGCTGTTGTGCTGGCGGCTGAGTTGGATACTGATACGGTGAGCCAGGAGCATCCTGTTTCTGACTCGAATATGAATATGAACGCTGAGGCTGAGGGAGGGGCGTTGGTTGAGTAGGAGGAGCATAAGTCTCCACTGGCGCATTGTTGAAATAGTAATTCTCCGCTCCACCTGGTCCAGCACTCATTGATGGCGGTGGTCCTGATGATATCGAGGGATACATACCCTGAGGCGCTGCAGGGGAGGGCATTCCATAAGCCGCATATCCCGGGTTTCTCTGATTATAAGTGTTGTTCAACCGCTCTTCCAGCATTCGGTCGTAGTACCGCACTACTGTAGATAGCTTTGCATGCAGATCGAGGAGCGTATCGTTTTTGGACATTGTTTCGCCCAGGGTTCGCGCCAGCTTTGGCCGAAGCTTCCCGATGCTTTCGTATAGTTCCTGAATCTGTGGCTCACGGAGAATGGTACCGGGTGGCTGGTGCTGCAAGCGGTCGACCAATGTGGCAAACAAGTTAATGTTCTCTGCTTCCATCACAGATAACTCATAATCGTTCTTTGGCATAACAAAGGGCTGAGCGGAGGTTGCTCCGTCGGTGGTGGTTTTCTTGAGTGAAGCAGCATGCTTCTTGGCCTGTTCTTCAGCTTCCTTTAAAGACAGGGCTATGGCAGCTTTCAAATCCGGGTCATCTTCTTCCTCGTTTGAGACACCATTTATCTTTGCCGGCTCTTGCTTTGACTGTGCCTGGGGAACAAATCCCGAGCTCGAAATTCCCTTGGCCTCTTCCAGACTCATCTCCAGCGCTCTTTTCAAGTCCTCATCAAAGCTGCTGCTGTTTTCGACTCGGGCGCTTCGAGGTTGCATCGAACTCGGTTTGGGTGCGAAGGATACTCGTCGATCGGAGCCGCCGCTCGACTTCTTGGTTAACTTGTCGTAACAGCCGTCGTCGACCCGCACTGGCTGCATAATGCCCAGATGTGGCAGAGGAATGGACTTTGACGAGCACTGTTGATCGAATACATTACCACAGTTGCGGCAGTGGTGCTTTCTATTCGTCAGGGTGAATGAGGTTCTGCATCGCATGCAGACATCGCTGTCGGTCCACTCGGGCGGGGCACTGCTGTCGAGCATGCTGCTGGATATCTCAATCTTGGGCGGGAATTTAAATCCTTCTGTTTGCAGGCTCTGGTATATCAGGTTGATGTATGACAGATCATATCTCCCCTGAGCAGCACTGGCCCAGCTCTGGATCAGCTCCAAGATCTTCTGTTTGACTTCTTCGTTCACCGCAGCGGGCCCGTAGGCCTTGAGTAGTGAGACAAGATTGTCCATAAACTCACGGGAGGCAATCTCCGTGAGGAAGTGGGAGCCACCATTCTTAACGCAGGTGTCTGTGAGCTTGAGGGCCGATAGCTGGATATTGGGATTCTTGTTGCCTATCCGCCTCTTCAGCGACCGCATGGCCTCTTTGGGCTGCACTGTCTTTGATCGGATGAGGTCCGTAATCTCGAGCGAAGTTGCGATATCCTCCAAACTAGAGGAAGTAGCCTTTTCGATCTGCTCATCGAGCACAGAAGTGCCTGACGAGAACCACCCGGCCATTGTGCGGGATGGACAAATACAAGGCAGCGATATTCGGACTGTGATGGATGGAGAGAGGGCTTGTCTGTCGGCTTATAATGACGCTGTGAGGGGAAACCAATGGATTGTTGCGCAGCAGACTAATCAACGAGACCGCCTGCAAAATGTTCGAGAGGTGGAAATTCAAAGGTGTGAGGTACTCTGTAGCTGAGATGAATTAATGGTCGAACGCAGCGACCATCTGGGGAAGTTCTGGATAAACGCCTGGATCATCCGCCACATGCGCAACCACCAGCCACTGAGAGGCCACCAGTAATAAGACTGACTTCATGCACTCCATCAGCTAATCGATTAGCTACTGTCAAGTTACGGACAACTCACCAGCCTCAGCCTCGCCCGCTGTGTCATCAGTGGGCACTTCGGAGACCATCGTTGCTCCATCTATCTCGCTCTCGGCCTGCGGCTCCAGGCACTTCCTAGCCGTCATGCGTGTCCTTCAAATCTCCGTTCCCCAAGCTACACAACACTCCAAGTAATCTTGAACTGTTTAATCGCCTTGTCACCCTCGTCTCAACTCATGTCACTCCCCTATCGACGCCTCCAGAATTCCCAGCGCCCCTCTTCGAACCGAACCTGATTCCACATATGACCTGCTCGATTATTAAATAAACGCCCGAGACCAAAGAGGTAATTTTAGAAATCTGCCACTCAGCGGGGAGGGTTCTTTCCACCAGTGTCTCGCGCAATGATCCTGCGGTAGGAGCGACACTCATATCGCCATGGCGGCGTATGCATCCTCGTCCTCCGTATCCTCCCACACGGCTTCCACCTCAGCCAGCGCTCGAAGCAGTTGGACCGACCCTCGAGACTTGACACCACGCCCAGGCCCGGGCGCAGGAAAAGTCTTCCCTCACCTCAAGGACATTATTCAAGATGCCACCTCTTCTGTCCAAGTAGACGCCTCGCTTCCTCAATACCTGCACGAAGTCGAGAGTTCTACCACTGTGGCCAAAAGCTCTGTCGAATTTGGCCGCCACGACCTGGCTTACAAGAGTTATATGCGGGCATACGAAATCGCAGTTAATCACATTCCAAAACACAAGGATTTCGGGTTCTGGGACAACAACCCACAGTGGCGGGCGAAGTACAAGGTTGCTCTTCAGAAATTGGTGGACATGGAGTCACAGATGACCCAGATCAAGGCTCTAATCGAGGACAACAATGCCCGCCACGGAACCCAACCACAGTCTCGTGCCATGTCCAGAAAACCCGTCTACTCAACAGGGTTCGGCATCCCTCAGAATCTGATCCCGGGCCGGCCTACCTCTTCCGACAGCAATGAAGTCCCTCCAAGTTCGACCTCGCCAAATTCATCCGCAGACTTGCCTGACTCGCTTCGAATCCCTCGAGCACGTCCGTCAAGTAAACCAAAGCCCGAGAGTTTACAAGGTCGACCTTTGACTGAAGCGGCCAACGACCTCACTCAAAGATTCGCGAAGCTGAGAGGTCCAGGAAATGCTACGGAACACTCGACCTTACTGTTTATGCCCAAAGCGGGAGATTTTCAGCAGGGAGCAGGATACAACTCACAATCATATCCCAATGACACCTCTATTTCGCGACCCCTTGCTCCTCGATCGATTCCTGCTTTCAGTAACGGACCTATAGTCCCACCAAAGGTACCAGCTGCCCCACCAAAGGTGCCAATTGAAACCTCTATGGCTTTGCCGAAGCCTCCCAGTCCTACATACAGCCCGATCAACACCACATCCGCCAATTTTCATGCAAACAACCATAGGCTTTCGGCAGAAGTTGGCCGTCCACCCACGGAGAGGAGGCAGACTTACTACAATCAATCGCAGAATTCATCCACCGCTTCATTACAATTGCAGAGGACTCGTGACGAGCTCTCTGCCCCTTATAGACCGACCACTCCGAATGGAGTCAATTCCGCCATCATCCCGAAGAATAGCTCGAGTGATCTCCCTCATCAGACATCAATCGATGCTGCCACCCTGCAGGACTACATGAAGAGGTACAACGTGTTACTGATAGACATCAGAGAGAGATCTTTGTTCGACGAAGGACACATCATGTCAGCGTCAGTCATATGTATAGAGCCGATCTCTTTAAAAGAAGGGGTCTCAGCAGAGGAACTTGAGGACCGACTGGTCCTGGCGCCGGATAACGAACAGTCGCATTTCTCTCGCAGAGATGAATTCGACCTAGTCGTTTATTATGATCAGTACACGAGCGATGTTTCCTACCTCAAGGGTCCACCAATTATGACCAAAGCTCCGGCATTAAGAGCACTATATGATACATTGTACGAATTCAATGACACGAAGCCTCTCAAAGATGGTCGACCACCGGCCTTACTGGCTGGTGGTCTTGATGCGTGGGTGGATCGTATGGGAATTCATTCACTTGCCCGGTCAAGGACTGCTGCAACGCTGGGTATTACGCGGCAAAGACCCGTCGGCCCTGGTCGGCCTATCGCACGACAACGAATGGTTTCGGCCAATTCTCGCTATGAAGTTCGAAATAGGCGTCTTCGTGACCACAAATTTCTGGATGAGAGTGAGCAAGAAGCATGGCGTCAGCAGGCACTTCAGGAAGAAGTGACCCCAGTCGAGAAGCATGACACCGCAAGCGATGAGGAGTACTCGGTGGTAGAAGAAGAGCCTGAGCCTCCGTCGCCATTCATACCCGATTACGAGACATTCTTGCGCCGGTTCCCTTCAATTCAACAGCAGGAATCAATGGTTATGCCGGCTCGACGACCTGTTCCGTCTCATCACGCTGCATTCGTCCCTCAAATTGCACCACCTGCCGTTCCTCAGGTGCCCGCAAGGCCCGCGCCCGCAATACCCAGACCGAGCTATTCAGGCCATGCTGATATCAATGCGCCCCAACCAGCGCTGGCCCGAGTGACGTCCGCAACTCGGCCGCCTCTGTACTCAACAGTAACATCCCTGCGCAGACGGTTGCCCAAGACTGGCCTCACAAACTTCGGTGTCACTTGTTACATGAATTCAACTCTACAGTGTCTATCTGCGACTATTCCCTTGTCGAACTTCTTCAACGATCGACTCTACGAGGGGTATGTACAGCGCAACTGGAAGGGCAGTAATGGCATCATGCCTAAGCTCTATGCCAACTTGATCCAAGCCGTCTGGCAGGGAGACACTGAAGTGATCAAACCGTCAACATTTCGAAACTTTTGTGGGCGCATGAATCGAGAATGGGTAATAGATCGACAGCAAGATGCGAAGGAATTCTTCGACTTCCTTGTCGATTGCCTTCACGAGGACTTGAATGTCAACTGGGAACGAACACCTCTTCGGCCATTGACGACTGCAGAGGAAATGCAGAGAGAGCGGATGGAAATTGCACGAGCCAGCCCAATTGAGTGGAAACGCTACGAGCATAGAGACCACAGTTATATGTCTTCGTTATTCGCCGGCCAACATGCCTCACGCCTGCGTTGTCTCACTTGCAAGCGCACGTCGACCACATACGAAGCATTCTACAGCATCAGCGTGGAAATTCCTCGAGACCGTGCGGGCCATATCTACGATTGTCTTGCTTCATACTGTCGGGAGGAAAAACTGTCGGAGCTTTGGCGATGTCCATATTGCAAGTGCGAGCGTGAAGCCACCAAGCAAATCATCCTGACTCGCCTGCCACAGTTCCTGGTGATACATTTCAAGCGATTCGCCGCTTCAAAGCACGAAAAGGCCAAGAAAATCCACACACCCATCGAATTCCCATTGCATAATCTAAGTATGGATGACTTTGTGATTCCGCGACCACCCGCGTTGCCGGATCAAGATGGGCGAATGAATATGGAGCTTGCCACGACACCACCGTATACATACGATGCATACGGGGTTCTGAGACACCTGGGGAATAGTGGTGATGGTGGTCATTATATCTCTATTGTGAAGGACCAGGGCCGGGGCGTGTGGAGGAAGTTCGATGACGAGAGGCATGTTGACTTGGACCCAATGAAACTGAACCCAAGGGACAGACTTCAGAACGGGGAAGCATATATCGTGTTTTATCAGAGAGCTCAGGGCCGATGATGGGCGTGCGGCTGCCGATGGCCGGGAAGAGATACTGTCGGGATTGGCTCCTTTTCTTGTGACACGTTCGAGCAAGCGAAGCTTTTCTCCGTAAATATTGTGGATTGGTATTTTTGGGATGTATTCGTCTGGACCAAGACAGAATTATGGATTCTTTTGGGGAGTGCCGTCTTCTGGATGACCTTCGATCTGATTTTTATGGATGGGCCAGTTTGACGACGACCATGAGAAGATACTGATACGACAAATGAAAAGTAGATTTCTGGTATCAATCTTGCGTCTTCTTTCCGCGGAATACCTACAGCGGGCTGTTCCTTGATGTCTGAATCCTAGATTCGTAGTTTCACGCAGAGAGTGGCTGCGACAGCAGTCTTGCGATCTTCCTTGAAGGGATCTTTGACCCAATCCATCCGCGTGGCTGGGATCGTATCTGATCTGGCAAAGGTGTTCTTTGCTGGCTTTATGATTTTGATGGTTGGTTTGCGCATTCCGAAATGTTTCGGTGTCTGCCGAGTTTCAGTCCAGCAGAACCAGTCCACCATTTATATATATATACGTGTGTTCGACCACCGACAGACGCAAAATTGTTGATCCAGAGTATCGTAGCCATCGTCGTAGCGTTAGCCGGAAGTCGTCAAGTCAGCCAGTATAGCGCATGCGTTGATCAGAGCTATCTGATTGGTATACAGGGGTGGTCTTTATCTGTCGATTTGTGGCCTTTTTTTCATTTGTGTTTGGTCTTGCCGTACATTCCTCCTTCGATCCTCCGCTTTTCAATTGCCAACTTGTAAGGAGGGGCCGTTGGAGGCTGGACCGGGTCTAGCGACACATGGCCCTCTGGCAGCTTGTAGGTCGCATCGCTGTCCCAGGCTGAGAGATCACCGCAGGCCAGGAATGGAGCAATGTACCTCCGCGGATCGGCGTTTTCGATAG